GGATAAAGTGTGCACCACCACTCCTGGCTCAATCACTTAAAAATTTTAAATCCTTTCTGTCCCCGGAGAGCCCAAAAAAAGGGTAGGTGACCCAGTTTGGTTTGAGCATGGCTTGGTGCTTCTGACCTAATACCAAAATTCTGTCCAGCACACAGGAGGCAGAAGCAGGAGTTCAAGGCCAGCCTGATCTACAGAGCTAGTTCCAGGACAGGCTCCAAAGCTACACAGAGAAAACCAGTCTCAAAAAAGCAAGGAAAAAAAAAAATTCTCAACACACCAGCAATAAAGATCAGTAAGCAGATTCTATTCCTATTCCAGACTGCAACAGTAAGTCTTTGAAATACCTAGATATTCTAAAACAAAAATGGAACTAGTTATTCAAGGCTAATGTAGGGGGTTCTACACCAATTAACATTCTCTTTTTTCAAAGAAAGCACCCAATCTGTAAGTACAGGTATGTTCACAAAGGGAGAGGGGCCTAAGTGACAAAGTAAAACCTATGCAGTTTGGGTGGTATTGTCGTTTTGTTTTTGTATATTTTTGACAGGGTCTCTCACTCTATAGCTTGGGCTGGCCTTGACAGAGCTCAGTTTTTAGAGGTTGAAACCCCTGAATAAACCTATGGCCCCTAATCCTGTGAATACAAAAGTGTGCATGTGAGAGGATGAGGGGCCTCCTCAAAAGTTCTTTCCCAGGGAGGGCTTGTCACCAGCACAAATCCCAACAAAGACAAAACAAAATGAAACAAAGCAGCTCACAGCCATAAAAGTCTGGTGATCAGAGTTCAATCCCTAGAACCCACATAACGGTGGATGAGAACCGAGGTCGTGGTAGTCCTCTACACACAGGTACACAAGGGCGTCTGTACAAGCACACAGACATGCAGCTTAACTGCCTGGGTATAGTGGGCACACACATTTAAGCCGAGGCAGAAGGACCTGTGAGTTTGAGGCCAAGCATGGCTACACAACAAGTTCAGGCTCATATAGTGAGACCCTGTCTCAAAACAAAACAAGCAAACACAGCTTAAGCACCCTTCCTAAGGAAAAGCAGACTGCAAACACAGAATGACCCACTGAGATTTTATAGCTGCCAGTTTGGTATTCCCAAGAAACACTTCCAGTTAGTTTAAGTTTATTATAAATTCAGAAGCCAACTTTTATTCTCTGTCTTAAAAAAATAACCCACAACTTGACCTACTATTTAATTGCTAGCATAAAACCATCTTAAGAGGACTAATTACAAAATTTATATACATTCTTAGAACAGTTCCAGTAAAAAGCAAGAATGTACTTCCCTCTGACTTTAAAGAATCAGGAAGCAGGATATGGCACCAGCATACACAAGTGAGGTGACAAGACACCAGGAAGCCCTAGATCACTACAAGTCCTGTGAAGACAGCCCCACCCAGTTTGTATGTGCTGTCCAACCATGTTTTAGAGCCACAGAAATTCAAAAATAAAATAAACTATTTTAGGTGAAAATGAAACATCCAGTCCAAGAAATTAAAACTGACTTAAGAATTTGTGCTCAGGCAGAGAAAGGTAGAGGCAGGTGGATCTCTGTAAGTTCGAGGCCAGCCAGGTCAACAGAGCAAGCTTCAAGACAGCTACACAGAGAAAACCTGTCTTGGGGAAAAAAAAAAAAAAGTTGTTTGGGGCTGGAGAGATGGCTCAGTAGTTAAGAGAACTGACAGCTCTTACAGAGGACCAGGGTTCAATTCCCAGCAACCATTCAGCAGCTCACAACTGTCTGTTATTCTAGTTTCAGGGGATCTGACACCCTCACATAAGACATACATGCATGCAAAACACTAATATACATAAAATAAAAATAAATAAATCATTAAAAACAAAAAAGAACTTTTGCTCAGTGAAACCATTTTCATGGAGACCCGTGCTTTTGTTGTATCCTCACAACTACTCTGTATGTGTGACAAGGCACTCTACACACTGGACTAATTCCACGAGGTCCTTAAAAGGCCAGGCATTAACCAGTCTTAGGCATCACCCCACTGTCTAAAGACCTTAAACTGGGAGATTTCACAGTATGTAGGGTTGGTTCCCAGACTATACGCCACCTCCCTCCTCCACCTACAGTTGCTCTCTGCAGCAGGGACTACCCTGGAGAACTCTGCTGATCCAAGAAAACATTTACACAGAATGAAAGAGTGTGCGAGTCACTGGAACGGGAAGGACACAAACAACTGAGTGTCTGTGGCTAGGGGGCAGGGAAGGAGAGCAATCCCAGCCCCTATTCATTTACGAAAGAATCTGGCAGATGAACCAGAACAGCAGACTGGTAGAATGTTGAGAAAAGGCTGCCCAAGGCAAAGACAGTTCAAAGAGGCTTTCAAACAGCTACTTAACATCCATCTTATGGGCTTTATTTAAATTTGATGAGAAGGCCTACAAAACAGTTCTTCCAAGCTTCTAGACCTCCCTCCTGATCTGCTCATTTTGAGAGAAGACAGCAAGCTATGGGGGAAAGCATTACACAAAGTACTGCGCAGCTCTGGCACACACACCCCTCTGCAATGTCAGTCCAGACCAAGGGCGGAACCAGCCCAGAGCAGGCTGAAGGTGCTGTTTGAATCTAGCAGGACACACATAGCATGGAGAGCTCGATTTCTAGTAAAAACAAAACAAAACAAGACAAAAAAAACAAAAACAAAAAAAAAAAAAAAAAAAGGGGGGGAATGATGATATACCACTAAATCTAACTCCTCCACAAAATCCAGTGACTCAACTTTGCCAGGCAACCTGTGAGGAGGTAGGCACTAAGCTACATCAACTGGGCCTAAGAAGTCATAACCAATCTCAACTGAAAGCTGTTCCATCCACCACTGCATGGTGACGGTGTTAAAGACAGTAGGACTGAGAAGCCACATATATAAAGGACATCCATCCCATCCTCCATAAAACAACCAAACAGCCTTGGCAAAAGGAAGTCAGGCCCAGCACTTGAGAGGCTGGGGCATGAGTTCAAGGCCAGCCTGGGCTACCCAGGAAGACTCTTATTTATCTTAGAAACAACAAAATGTCTGGGCCAGCAAGATGGCTCAGGTAGTATTTACTGCTATGCCTGCTGACCTGAGACCAGAGTTCAATCCCTACAACCAACACGGTGAAAGATCTGAACCAACTCCTGACAGTCGTCCTCCAAACTCCACACATGGGCAGTGACATAGTGACACATGGCCCTACCACCACAGAATAATAAATACAAATAAGTAAATAAATAAATAGTTTTTAATTTAAAAAAATGTGCCCGAAGTGGTAGCTAACACCCAGTATCTGGATTGCAGATGCAAATGTTCTGTAAAGTTCAAAGTCAGGTTGTCTACACCGAAAGTTCCAGGCTAGCCATGGCTACATAGCTGAGGCCCTATCTCCAAAAGAGGATGTCAAAGCCTTGTCACAATGAGTTGAATTGTGTTCCCAAGAAGATAGGTAAAAAGTCATAATTTACCAGTACTGTGTCCTTACTTGGAGACAGTCTCTTTGGAGGTGTGAGGTTAAAATGAGGTCCTACTAGACTGGACAGAGTATTGAACTGAATGAGTGGAAGCCTCATAGCATGGCCACATGAAGCCACAGACTTGCTGGGGAAACCAAGTGATAAGGCAAGGAGGAATTAGGTGGCCGAGAGCCAAACACCAAGGACTGTTGATGAGCAGCAGAAGTTAGAACAGAAAGGAGTTTCTCTGGAGTCTTCAGGGGCACTGACTTCTGATTTGGATCAGTTCTTGGGAACTGTGAGAGTAAACTTGTTCTGATGTTTTGTTCAGTTACCCTACAGCCCCTTTCTGTCTCACGGAAAACACCTAACCATCACTTATCACTTGACCAGCCTCTCACTTTGCTTACTTCATTCAGCTCCTATTACTAGCGGCCTAGTCACTGGGCAGCACTGGCTTCTGCCTACTCCCCTAGAATGCATTACTCTCCACACTCTAGGGCCCAACGACTTATGAGCTGGCTGCTCCCTATGCAGAAAGGGTTCTCCCAAACACACTCAAGTTTTGTCTCCTCAATTCTCCCCTTAGGAGTCTGTTCCAGTTACCTTCTCTACCATGTTCCCCTAAACTAAGTTCCAGCATTTACTAACCAGGCCCATAGGCCATGTGTATCCCCACCTCCCACCCCCAACTGTTCCCCACAGAACTTAACATAACCCAATAGATACTTTGCTTTTAATTCTTGAAAGGTTGACCTCCCTCCAAAATGTTGCTCGGTGAGATCAGGAATTCAACTTCTGTATCCCAGTGCCTCTATTTACTGAAGGAACAAATTAACTCCTATTAGAACAAGTGAAACTTCATTCAAAGGTGTACAATAAACCAAGCATGGAGCTGGCCTATCATTCTAGGAGTTGGAGACAGCAGGATTAGTTCAAGGCTATATTCAGCTACATATCAAGTTTCAAGGCCAGCCTGGGCTATCTCAGATCCTGCCTCAAAATAAATAAAAACACGCATTAATTTAGTATGAAGTTGGGCTCTGGGGAGACAGAAGAGAATACATGGACTGCATTTTCTTGGTTAGACTGAAGGGCTTCCCACCAGTCCTTGGTGAGAAGGAAAGACAAGCAATTTTAAAACCCTTACCTATAATTTTTTGTGTAGCCACACCCTTGTAGAAAACAACTAGGCTGCGGAATCTGTGCAGGCAGATCTAAACATAACCCAACCCACTTTTACTTATTCCGGGATGAGAAGGAATTCTAGCAGGAGTGGTTGCGAATACCAATAATCTCATACTCCAAATGTACAAGCTCTCTTCAGAGAATAAATAAAGACAGCTTTGGATCATCAACCGATCAAAGCATTTATTTTACAAAACAAAAGGTAAAGGGCCTTCCCAACCAGCAAGAGCTTTAAGACATCTCTTTCGGAGCAGGGACACATTCTAACTTCTCTCCGGTGGTCCTCGAGGTTCACACACACCCCCCCCCTTTAAAGTTAAAATCAAAGAGGTCGAAAATTAAAATTTTATTACCTTGGTTTTTGGCCTCGAGTTCTGCCAATCCTAGGGATGAATCACAAGACTCCTTGAGAGGCGATCTGATTGGAGTTTCAGCTCCAGGAGTCTCAAAATTACCTTCAGAATCCGAGCTGCCAAGGGGGGAAAATGAGGCATTACCACAGTCAACGGTATTTCCAACTGCCTTTGAAATGTACTTATTCACAGAGGTGCAAGCCCAGCACCTCTGTCTAACTTCACCACCAACGGATCCTCAACCCGGCTAAGTGAGGCCGCAGCAGTTTTTCGGCGATGCTCAGCATCCTAGCTCCCCGAAATCTCTTCTGTCCTCTGGAGCGGCTCATCAGCACCACTTATTTTTGAGGTCATCTTTGCCTTTCACACTCGAAAAGGGGGAGGGGAGACATTTCAATCAACTCCTTTCCTCCCTTTCCTCGGCATAGACCCTTATTCCAGAGGCTTAAAAATCAATACCGCCCAACCCCCAAACTAAGCCAATTCTAGCCATGCCTTGGTTCCTTGGTAGGCCTCTACCTGTCTGAAAGTCACTGGCGGCTGAAAATGCCATCACCTGCCTTCCACAATCACACGTGTGACAGCCCGGCAGAGACCACCATTTCTCACCAGCTGCCAGGGGCCTGTCACCACGCGATCCTCTTTTACCACGGCTGCGTTTTTGAGGACACTGCGGGGCCAAGCAGGGGGTGGGGAGCGATTCCCTGCCCACTGCGGGAAAGCTACTAATCCCACCTGGCCTCGTCAACTGACACCAGCCGGGGTATAGACCCTCAGAGAAGGCGAGCCAAGCAAACCAGGATGCGGAGACTGCGGATTCGGGGCTGGGTTCGGGAAGCTCACAGCGAAGACGGGGAACGAAAAGCACAGGGGCAGACAGAACATCCCCAACTTTCGGGTGCACAGCGGGGACCCGGCTGCGGGCAACACGCAGCGGAGCCGGGAGCACGGTTGCGCGCACACAGCATGACCGCGGTGGAGGATGGAGCGCGCCTGCATCTCGGCTGGGATGCGGGGTACTTGCCTGAAGCTCAGGGATTTGGTCTCGGCTTGCGAGTCCTCCTCCTCCTCGGGGTCGCCCTCGGGACCTCCGGCTTCTTCCTCTCCTCCCGCGCCCGCGCCGCGGACAGCGGACCACGTCCACTTGGCCCACTGCACGGGCGACAGGATCTGCCAGGGACTGAACGCCATGAGCGCGGCTGCCGCCCCTGCGGTGGGAACGGCGGCCTCCTTCCTTCAAGATGGAGGGGCCGTGACAGGCGCCGGCAGCGTCGCCGGCGACCCGCGGATGTGGCTCAACGAGCGCCGTCGGGCCGGGCACAGCGCTTCCTCCCACGGCCCGCAGCGCCGCTCGCCCCCCGCTCCTCGGGGCCGCCGCGCCACAAGCTCGCCCCCGCGCGCCCCCGCCCGCCCGCCCGTCCGCCTGTCCCCTCCTCTGTGCGCGCCTTGGCTCGGCTCTGGGGTCGGCTCCCGCCTAGAGCAGCCTCGGCCGCCCCGGAGCCGCGCCCCTGGAGCCGCCCCCTCGGACCGAACTACTGGCGCGGCGCGCGGGGGCCACCGCTTGGAACGCGCTCCCCCGCCGCGCTGGTCGCGCCCGGCCTCGCTCGGGCAGGGGCTGCGCGACCGCGCTCGCCCTCCCCGCGGGGACCCGCGCCTGCAGCTCGCTGCGCGCCGCCGACGTCCGTTGCCGAGCGTGTGCGCGCTGCTGCGCCTTTCCTCTTCCCCTTTTATCTGTTCTTCCTGCCGCTAGGACTTGATGGCGTGGCTGACGCTGGACCACACAGAAGTTAAGTCCCTTATTAAAAACAAAAACAGAACTCGTAACCTCTGTTGTAGCCGCTCCCTGACTTAGTCATCTCCATCCCCACTACTCCCAGGATTTGGAAGTCCCCCTTCCCCCAAAGCCAAGACAAGAATTGAAGATGCCTTGCCTGCACTAAATCACACTCAAATGGGGACTCTAGAGTGGCCAGAACAGGAATAGAGGATGCGAAATTGCCCTCTGACAAGACAGCCTGAGTGGTTTCCCGTTGTCCTTTCTTCTCATAACTTTAAGGCTTTCTTCAGATAATTTCTAGGTCTTTGGTTACTGATGTCATTTGCCCTTTCAGTACAAAGCCAGCAGGCCTGGTGATTGCAGCCTTCAGGATAAAACCTTTTTCTCTTTGAAGGCGAAGAGAAGAATTTTTTTCCATCATCTTTGAAGGCTTCAACCAAGGGACTGCTGCAGGCCCTCTCTCCCAGGGAACCCATTGCCTCCAACGGTCAAGCTTGAGACTCTTGGTGCGTCAATAATGTGTTGCTTGTGCTGCTGTCATTTCTCGGAGTCTTGGAGAATCTGTGATGTGGCTACAATTCCCACAGAGAGTGCACCTCCAAAATTCAGGACAAGGTCACGCTGAAACTTGCAGGGCACTGATGGTCTCTGAAAGGGTTTGGCACTGTATATGCTGCTGATGAATCACAAAGGGCTTACATACTCCACAACAAAGCAAATATGTAAGATAAGGCTTGGCAGGCATCCTACCATAATGAAAACATAGGGTGCTTTAGAATCCGTTGCTGCTGCTTCTTGACAGAGATAAACAAGACTGTCAAGAGTGTCATAAGACTTAAAAAAAAAAAAAGTCGGCAGTTGGTGGTGCACACCTTCCTTAATCCCAGCGCTCAGGAGGCACAGACAGGCAGATCTCTGTGAATTCAAAGCCAACCTGGTCTACAGAGTGAGTACTAAGACAGGCTCCAAAACAATACAGAGAAATCCTGTCTCCAAAAAAAAAAAAAAAAAAAAAAAAAAAAAAAAAAAAATAAATAAATAAATAAATAAAAAAGGCAGGTCATTTTTGTTTTAGGTCTACAAGAACTATGCCAAACACTATCCAACTGGTGTCTTGGCTTAATGATCACCAAGTAAATCTTCAGATTAGAAATCCCTTAGATGTCTTGGTTTGATACAAGTATACTATTGGCCTGAAAATAATACCCATGTAAGTCAGTACCTGGTCTTGTTCATTCTTCCTCAATAGTACTAGAATATTTTTTCCTTCTCTCCATCCTTGGTGTAACTTACATAGTTCTGCACTTCCTAACCCCTTAAAACTTCAGTTTCTAACTGGCTTTTCCTCAGGTCACCATCAGCAGGGACCTAGACATAACCTTTCTATGCCCAAGAACACCTAGGAGATCATAAAAACACAAGCAGCAGAAGGCCCTGAATTCCATTCCTGGCCCTAAGCAAGGGTGGGAGGGTGCAGATGCAGTGGTTTGTAGACAGTTGCATGTGTATTATAATGTCCTTGAGGAATTGTCAAAAATCTAACAAAGTCAACTACCACTCTTACCCCCAGAACACTTTCTCTTTGCCTGCAGAGCTTTCTATGTCCCTGAAATATACCAGAACCCCAAGTTCCCCCTAAGACCCCTGACCTTGGCTAGCCAAACTTTTCTCATCACCCAGCTCAATGGCCTATTGTGGGAATGCAACTCTACACTTTGTACCATTTTTATACCTGAACAGTCATGAGATCACAGCTGTGACCCTTTGTTGTAAAAGTGGAAAAGGAGTATTCTTAGTAGTGACACCAGGACAACAGGCATAAGCCAAGCCTGTCTCAGGATGTAAGGTCACCCTACACTTAGTACAGCATATGCAACATGTTTATTTGCATGAATACTTTTAAACCATAAAACTCCAGAAACTTAGGACAAGAGCTCATACACAATAGATGGTCAATAAGTTACACAATCAAACACACGAGCTTCCATTTGTCTTTCCAAGTTTGGTAAGCTCCTGGGGACACTATGGCTTAAAGGAGCAAAAGAGAGAAGCTCCTTCTCCAGGTGTGGCCCAGTGATAAGACTACTGTGCAGCAGCAGCAGCAGCTCGAGCTGACAGAAGCAGACACCCAAGTTTCCAGAACCCCATCTTGTTCAAGTCTAGGATGTAAACAGCAACAAAGTAGTAACTGGCTCCATAGCCTTTACAGACTGTATGTTACAGTGGTTGAGTAAGTCTGATGTGTCCATTTCCCTAAAAAGCTGGAAAAGGCAGACCTCAGCATGGCTGCCGCCCTCTGCCTCACCAAGCACAATGCCTGCAATCACATTACCTCGAAGCCAAGAAACCCATTTGATTTGGAAATGACCTTAAGCTGAGAAAGTGCCCTTCATTCTTTTCCATGGCTTCGTGCCCTTCCCAGAGGCTATGGATCAATATAACATGAAAATATAAAATCTAACTCTCCGGGGCTGGAGATGTTGCTCTGTGGTACAGTAGGTGCTTAGCATGAATGGAGCTCTGGGTTCAATTCCCACTAACAATGATAACTGCTTCAAAGCAGTCTACAAATGACAGCCAGGTAAAGCAGGACATAGCAATCAATTCTACAGAGGGGTCTACACAACGAGTCTCTTTAGTAAAAGTTAAATAAACCAAGTAGGGGCTGGAGGGGTGGCTTGGTGGCTGAAAGCCCCAGGTTCAGTTCCCACCACCTACACAGCTACTTAGAACCGTCCTGAACTCCAGTTCTAGGTACTTGACACCCTCTTCTGGCCAACAAGGGCACCAGGCATGCTAAGTATATGCATGCATACATGCCTGCAAAGCACACATAAACATAAATAAAGAAATCTAAAAATAAACCGGGTAAACAATTTGTGACGGCTTAAGACTCTGCTGGCCCTAATTCTTGTTAGGTTCCACTAAGCCTCAGCATGCCTCAAACCTGAGCTCTTTGTTCTCCTAGAATCCAGTTTTATCTGGAATCCTGCAGGTTCAGTTTAGTGAGAATCTCCACCCTCATTCTCTCACACCAGCCTGCCTTCGATAAGAATCTTGTCAAGTAGGTTTAGCCAGAATCATCCTGTGCCCCCAGAACTTCCTCTTAGTAATTTTTCAGCCAGTGACACCCCACCCCCACCCCTTTCAGTGCAGATCCCCTGCCTATAAATACTCACTTGTCTTTGCGTTTGGGCTTAAACCAGATCTCTCTATTTCACAAAATCCTAGCAGAGTCATCCCTTCTTAAATGAAGTCTTCCGTGTTTAATAAGAGTCACGGCAGACCTCCCGTTAACAAGCAAACCATTTAGTAGTATAGCCACTGTGAGGACAGGGTCGGAGGAGGGGCAGGTAAGGCGAGGCCTCTCTGTGATCAGCTCTTCTACCTAACATAACAGACCTGTTATGGAGTGTAGAATTTGCTGGAATAAGGAGAGCAAACACACCTAGCTTATTAACAGCAGGCATAGCTGGGAGGTCTGACAGGCCCAGTCTTCCATGCAACACCCAAATCCTGGATTTTATATCTTTCAATATCATAACTGTTCTCCTTCATGTAAACTGTTGGAATCTGGTGCAGCTGAAGGAACCTGAATAGGCAAAGAGGAGTACCCTTGCTCTGGAACAAGAAAGTCATGACTCCATTTAGAAAGACCATAGATCATTCTGGAAGCCCTGGGTTAAAGGACTCAAGATTGAGAGACCCAAGAAATTGTATATTCTCTGCCCCAAAACTGCCTAGCAAAGATAATAGCTCTTGTCACATAAGCCACATAAGCAATATTCAAATTAATGCTCACTGTGTCAGTAAGTTATGAGAATGTAAACAACCCCAGCACTCTGGGAACAACACTATTACAGTGGAAGGAATATGAAGTCCAGGGTGCTTTAAAAACAAAACAATGTTTTGACCACCATGGACGCAACAAGGCATTTACATGAGATGATGTGAATATTAAAGAGGCAAGGAGAGAGGGCGGGGCCAGGGTGACATTCAGGAATTCCAAGCAACTACCTGTTTTCGGTCATTCTTTATTAAGATAGGGTCTCACTATGTGTGGTGGTTTGAAAGAAAACAGCCCCCAAAGGGAGTGGCACTATTAGGAGGTGTGGCCTTGTTGAGAAAGTGTGACTGTGGGGGCGGGATTTGAGGTCTCTTTCTCAAGCTTCACTCAGTATGACAGTCAGTCAACTTCCTGTTGCCTCTGAGTCAAGATGGAAGACTCTTAGCTCTAACACCATGACTGCCTGCATGTCGCCATGATGATAATGGACCAAACCTCTCAACCTGTACATGAGCCACCCCAATTAAATGTTCTCTTTATAAGAGTTGCTGTGTTTATGATGACTCCTCACAGCAATAAAAAACCTTAACAAAAATACTCTGTAACCCTGACTGGCCTGGAACTTGCTATGTAGGCCAGGCTAGCTTCAAACTTACAGAGGTCCTCCTGTCTCTGTCTCTTGAGTGCTAGGATTAAAATCATGGGCCCCCATCCCCAGCTTTATGTCTATGATAAGGGGAATGAGACAATCTTACATTGTATTTGAACTCAAGACAATCCTCCTGCCTC